TCAACATTAATCAACATTAATCAACATGAATCAACTTTAATCAACTTTAATCAACTTTAATCAACTTTAATCAACATGAATCAACATGAATCAACATGAATCAACATTAATCAACATTAATCAGCATGAAACAACTTTAATCAACTTTAATCAACTTTAATCAACTTTAATCAACATGAATCAACATGAATCAACATGAATCAACATGAGTCAACATTAACCAACATTAATCAACATGAATCAACATGAATCAACTTTAATCAACTTTAATCAACATTAATCAACATTAATCAGCATTAATCAACATTAATCAACATGAATCAACATTAATCAACATTAATGAACATGAATCAACTTTCATTAACATTAATCAACATGGATCAACTTTCATTAACATTGATCAACATTAATCAACATTAATCAACATTAATAAACATGAATCAACATTAATCAACATTAATGAACATGAATCAACTTTCATTAACATTAATCAACATGAATCAACTTTCATTAGCATTAATCACCATTAATGAACATGAATCAACTTTCATTAACATTAATCAACATGAATCAACTTTCATTAACATGAATCAACATTAATCAACATTAATCAACATGGATCAGCTTTAATCAGCATGAATCAACATGAATCAACATGAATCAACATGAATCAACATGAATCAACATTAATCAACATGAATCAACTTTAATCAACTTTAATCAACTTTAATCAACATGAATCAACTTTAATCAACATGAATCAGCTTTAATCAACTTTAATCAACTTTAATCAACATGAATCAACATGAATCAACATGAATCAACATTAATCAACATGAATCAACTTTAATCAACTTTAATCAACTTTAATCAACATGAATCAACTTTAATCAACATGAATCAACATGAATCAACATGAATCAACATGAATCAACATTAATCAACATTAATCAACTTTAATCAACATGAATCAACATGAATCAACATGAATCAACATTTATCGACATGAACCAACCTTACTCATCATTAATCAACATTAATGAACATGGATCATCATGAATCAACGTTAATCAGCATCAATCAACATGAATCAACATGAATCAACATGAATCAACATTAATCAACATGACTCAACTTTAATCAACTTTAATCAACTTTAACCAACATGAATCAACATGAATCAACATGAATCAACATTAATCAACATGAATCAACTTTAATCAACTTTAATCAACTTTAATCAACATGAATCAACTTTAATCAACATGAATCAGCTTTAATCAACTTTAATCAACTTTAATCAACATGAATCAACATGAATCAACATGAATCAACATGAATCAACATTAATCAACATTAATCAACATGTATCAACTTTAATCAACTTTAATCAACTTGAATCAACTTTAATCAACATGAATCAACATGAATCAACATTAATCAACATTAATCAACATGAATCAACTTTAATCAACTTTAATCAGCATGAATCAACATGAATCAACATGAATCAACATTAATCAACATTAATCAACTTTAATCAACATGAATCAACATGAATCAACATGAATCAACATTTATCGACATGAACCAACCTTACTCATCATTAATCAACATTAATGAACATGGATCATCATGAATCAACGTTAATCAACTTTAATCAACTTTAATCAACTTTAATCAACTTTAATCAACATGAATCAACATGAATCAACATGAATCAACATTAATCAACATTAATCAACATGAAACAACTTTCAACTTTAATCAACTTTAATCAACTTTAATCAACATTCAACATAATCAACATGAATCAACATGAATCAACATGAATCAACATGAGTCAACATTAACCAACATTAATCAACATGAATCAACATGAATCAACTTTAATCAACTTTAATCAACATTAATCAACATTAATCAGCATTAATCAACATTAATCAACATGAATCAACATTAATCAACATTAATGAACATGAATCAACTTTCATTAACATTAATCAACATGGATCAACTTTCATTAACATTGATCAACATTAATCAACATTAATCAACATTAATAAACATGAATCAACATTAATCAACATTAATGAACATGAATCAACTTTCATTAACATTAATCAACATGAATCAACTTTCATTAGCATTAATCACCATTAATGAACATGAATCAACTTTCATTAACATTAATCAACATGAATCAACTTTCATTAACATGAATCAACATTAATCAACATTAATCAACATGGATCAGCTTTAATCAGCATGAATCAACATGAATCAACATGAATCAACATGAATCAACATGAATCAACATTAATCAACATGAATCAACTTTAATCAACTTTAATCAACTTTAATCAACATGAATCAACTTTAATCAACATGAATCAGCTTTAATCAACTTTAATCAACTTTAATCAACATGAATCAACATGAATCAACATGAATCAACATGAATCAACATTAATCAACATTAATCAACATGTATCAACTTTAATCAACTTTAATCAACTTGAATCAACTTTAATCAACATGAATCAACATGAATCAACATTAATCAACATTAATCAACATGAATCAACTTTAATCAACTTTAATCAGCATGAATCAACATGAATCAACATGAATCAACATTAATCAACATGAAACAACTTTAATCAACTTTAATCAACTTCAATCAACTTTAATCAGCATGAATCAACATGAATCAACATGAATCAACATGAATCAACATTAATCAACATTAATCAACATGAATCAACTTTAATCAACTTTAATCAACTTTAATCAACTTTAATCAACATGAATCAACATGAATCAACATGAATCAACATTAATCAACATTAATCAGCATGAAACAACTTTAATCAACTTTAATCAACTTTAATCAACTTTAATCAACATGAATCAACATGAATCAACATGAATCAACATGAGTCAACATTAACCAACATTAATCAACATGAATCAACATGAATCAACTTTAATCAACTTTAATCAACATTAATCAACATTAATCAGCATTAATCAACATTAATCAACATGAATCAACATTAATCAACATTAATGAACATGAATCAACTTTCATTAACATTAATCAACATGGATCAACTTTCATTAACATTGATCAACATTAATCAACATTAATCAACATTAATAAACATGAATCAACATTAATCAACATTAATGAACATGAATCAACTTTCATTAACATTAATCAACATGAATCAACTTTCATTAGCATTAATCACCATTAATGAACATGAATCAACTTTCATTAACATTAATCAACTTTAACCAACATGAATCAACATGAATCAACATTAATCAACATTAATCAACATGGATCAGCTTTAATCAGCATGAATCAACATGAATCAACATGAATCAACATTAATCAACATTAATCAACATTAATGAACATGAATCAACTTTCATTAACATGAATCAACATGAATCAACATGAATCAACATTAATCAACATGAATCAACTTTCATTAACATGAATCAACATTAATCAACATGAATCAACATTAATCAACATAAATCAACATGAATCAACATCAATCAGCATTAATCAACTTTAATCAACTTTCATTAACATTAATCAACATGAATCAACTTTCATTAACATGAATCAACATTAATCAACATTAATCAGCATGGATCAACTTTAATCAACATGCATCAACATAAATCAACATTTAGTAACATTAATCAACATTAATCAACATTAGTCAACATTAATCAACATTAATCAACATTAATCAACTTTAATCAACGTGAGTCAACATGAATCAACATTAATCAACATTAATGAACATGAATCAACATGAATCAACATGAATCAACATGAATCAACATGAATCAACATGGACCAACATTAATCAACATTATTTAACCATTAATCAACATGAATCAACCCAACCTGCTTTAAAGAAACAGAGATCGATGTTTCGCTGCCAGGCCATGTTTCCAGAAAAGTCCGTAGATCGGATGAACTGCCTCATGAAGGCGCCGATGTTCGCTGTCCTGGTGAATAGGAGGGGATGTTAAAATATTTTCGGAAGGGAGAAGTGTTGAAAAACGGTGTTGAATTGGATTGTTTCAGAAATTTTCTGATCATTTTGAGTATTCATTTCCAACATTCGCAGTTTCTGAAGAGAGACAACGAATCTTTGACTTGTAATCGACATGGAGACATACCTGCCACTTTCACAGTACGACTCGAGAATTTGCCATCGTTCTCGCTTTACACTTATCATTTTTTTTGAATATAGTACTTTGAACTCTCTTCATTTCTTGTCAGTGCTTGTATCCACTATAGTTTTTATTATGTTTCATTTGTCCAGTGTAAAGTGATATCCCCGTTGTAAACCTGTTTGGTTGATATATAGTAACGGTCGCAAGGCTCGCAACGCCCAAAAATCATAATCACATTGGGATAACCACTATTTCTATCTTTTGGGATGTTACTTTATATCTGGGTAAATTATAACGACCTCACTGCGACCTCACTGGAAATCATGGTTTTCGTAAGGGAAATCATCCCCAAATGGCCTTATTTCAGGTTAGTGAAATATTATAATTTACCCAGATGCGAAAGTCACGTGTGACACTGTATTATTCCTTCTTGTGATTTGTGCTGAACAAATCAAGTGAGCTTCAATGTTGCTGCTTTGGTCCAAGTGGAGGGTTGCGGTGGGTGTCCACCTATTTCGTTGTTGCTTCAGGCCATGGGGTTTAGAAAGGTTACTGATTTGACTGACTTTACAACTGGTGAATTGCTGGATTTGATCAAAAGTGCAACAGATATCATCCGTGCAAGATGTCTGGTGAGCTCAGTCACCCACAGATAACCCCTGGATCTGAAAGCGTTCAGACCTCAGACGAGCCAGCTGCAAGTAGCTCATCTCTCAAGAATCCTTTGACTTGTGAGTATCGTTGTCGACATTGCGATGCACAGTGCATCAGGGTCACAGCTCACACGTACCATGCCTGTTCAGAGCACAGACATTTGCGATGATGACACCGTTGATGATGGTGATGGACAGAGTGCTCTGCGTGGATTCAGGAAGAGGTGGGCAAGCCGTGACACTGCTTCTGGTGCAGGTAGTCATGTGGATGATGCAAGGTCTGACACTTCAGCTGGCAAAGGTTCTGACAAAGAGGTGGACTTCGATGTCGGGCAGTTGCCCGTGATTGACATGAATGTCGTAGATGTCGCACACGATGATTTGACAGAACATGTTCAGGCAATAGCTGGATCAAAGAGGCAAAAGATTCATGATTTTGAAAGGGATGCTTTGAAGAATACAAATTTACAGGTCTTCAAGTACCCCTGGGAACGTGGACGCCTCAAGAAGTTTTTCAGCAATGAGCCTTTAGTTTCTGTCAGGACACCTTCATTGAAACCAGGTGGACGCAACTTTGTGGGCCTTGAACTTCAGGTAGATGCCTCTGGACGCGTTTCTGCCACAACCTCAGTTGAGCAGGTGCAGAAGAGTGGTTCAGTGTTTTCTTCAATTGTCAGAAAGCTGGATGATGTTCCGGTCGTACAAGATCGGGATGCACAGCGCAAGAGAGCAATCGAAGGCTGGTGGAACTTGTTGGCTTTTTCTTTGGTGAGCAGCACCATTGGCTTAAAAGTGTCTGTGGAAGCAACCATCGATACTGTGGTCCAGTGTGCTCACAAAATACTGGATGCCGTGTTTGCGGTAAAAAGCCCCGGCACGTTGATGCGCCGACTTTATTCCATTCAGTCATTTGAAGAATGGTGCGTTGACAAGTTCAGTGAACACTGGCTACCAGTGACGGAGTTTCGGGCATGGCAATATGTCTGCTTTTTGAAGGATTCAAATGCAGCTCCAACAAAGGCCGGGAGTTTCTTGGAGGCGTTGAGATTCTCCTGGTATTTACTGGGAGTTGAGGGCTCCGGGGAATGTGAACAGAGTCTGAGAATCAAGGGAATATCATCTCAAATGCGAGCCTCCAAGAAACCATAGCGACCAGCAGATCTCCTCAGGCTCGACGAGGTACTGCGACTCCATGAAACACTTGCAGATGCCTCACAACCTCTTGGCGACCGTGTGTTTGCGGGTCACATGCTACACATGTTGTATGGGAGGGCTCGTTGGTCGGATTTCAGCTGCGTTACGGATTTGTTCATCGATTCAGACTGTCAATATTTGGAATGCTCAACGAGATACCACAAGGGTGGGCGCAGCGCGGAAATGAAGTCAAGACTCCTCCCAATAGTGGCTCCGGCAAAAGGAGTTGATCACAGCAACTGGGCTGTGCAATACCTTCAAGTGAGGAAACTTGCAGGACTTGAGTTGATGCCCGATCAACATGGGCCCATGTTGCCGGCACCTTTGAATGAGCAGGCAACGTGTTGGGCAGCAAGAGCTCTGACGTCGGAGGAGGGCTCTGCATTCCTCAGGAAGGTGTTGGATGCACCAAAGACGACTTCCAGGCGGTTGTCAACTCACTCAATGAAGTCAACAGTTTTGAGCTGGGCATCCAAGTATGGGTTACCTGACACAAGCAGGGCCGTTTTGGCCAGACATGTGAGCTCGGTTGCAACTGCTACGGCTGTGTACTCACGGGACTTGCTGTCCCCAGTCTTGCGTGAGATGGACTCCATGCTTTTAGCAATCAGAAGTGGGCTTTTCCACCCAGACCGCACCAGGTCGGGTATGATGACACCTGTGGGGATGGCTCAGGCTGCGCCTTTGACTCCTTTTGGTAGGGGTCTCGCGCCATTGCCGGCCACGCCACAACCAGCACCTCTGACACCATTTGGCAGAGGAGTTCCTCCAGTACATGTTGAGTCACTGCAGGAGAAGGCAGAGAAGATTCAATCAGAGATCCCTTTGGAGACACAGACGCCTTTGGGCGAATGGGAAGCAGTGGATGATCTCTTTGGGCGCTCCCCGGTTCCTGCCGAAAAGGATGCCAGTCCAGCGGACATAGGAAATGCAGACAGTGAGACAACAGAGGATGACAGTGTTCAGAGCTCATCTGAAAGCGAGGAAGATGGTGAGCAGGATGCTCGACATTTCAACTATGATCCTCCCTCAGATTTTTACATCAACGTCAAGTCCCTCGTTGTGCATTGCTGCAGAAACCCTGGTGTCCTCAAGTGTGGGAGGCGAGTGACTCCAAACTTTTCCAAAGTCTATGAACTCAATGGCATTCGATGCTCGAGATGCTTTGATGTGTAGGCAGTGATTTCGAGCGCGTGCGCATGCAGAAAAGAAAGCGGACTTGTAGTCAACCAGTCAGAAGACCAGAGTTTTGGCATGTGAACTTGCCAAGTCATTTGTGCATGACTAGCAGTTGTGTTTGTGAAATTTTGTTTTGACTGATTTAGTCAAAAAAAACCGTTGAGAGCAACGGCATATGAGGGGGATTGATTCCGCCTGTCATTGCATCACGCAGGTTTGAGAACCTGAATTGTTTCCTTTGTTTTAAACCCTGCAGAGACAGGGAGAAAGACTGAATTGATTTCAGTTTGCATTCAAGACAAGTGTCTGTGGATGTTGGCTCATAGCACGACTTGCTGATATGCTCAGTATGTTCTCTTGATGTCAGTGAACATCAGCTGCAATCATTACTCTCATGGTCATTTGTGCACTTTCATTTGAGTCAATTTGTTATTTGCAGGTTAGTCCGGACCTTAAGTGTTGTCACGTTTTTCAACTTGACATTCACCAGTGCTTTAGTAGTTTGCACCTCGGAGATGGCTGCACTGACTGACAGTAAAGCACACTTTGCTGCGAGAGCAAGGGAGTATGACGTTCCCGAATCTCTTGTCGATAGCCTTAGACTTGCTGGAGTCACCACAATGGCACACTTGGCTTTTTCTATTTGCAGACCTGGGCAAGATTTTGAGGAGTCAAAATTTGAGCAGTGGGTCACCACAGTAAATGGGGGTGTAGCTCCTACAGTAGGGGCCCTTGCAGCTATTCGTAGGTTGCACTTTGAGGCGGAGATTGTGGTCACTTCGACCTTGAAAGCATCTGTTGAGCAGGCACAGGAGTCAACGACACCTAGGCCTCTTCCCCAAGCAGAAAGGACTGCACGCATGAGACAGCTGAAACAGCAGTTCACAGGTTTGAATTTGGAAGGTGTAAACGAGCCATCACAGGCATTGGTAGATGAGTGTTGCCATCAGAATGAGACAACGGTTTTGCGTTACATCGAACCTGCAAAGTGCAACTCAAGAGAGTTTGAAGTAGCTGTTGGCAGAACTGACCGAAAGTTGCGCATCGAATCAAACACCCTGTCGGTCAAGGAAGCAAAAACGACACCAGATGAGGATGTGAGCACCTCTTTCAAATTGCAACAGTGCTTTAGACGTCGAGCAGTTGCTTATGAATTTGCAAGCTTGTTGTCTTTCAGTGTGCATGAGAAATATATTGACAAGCTGATGCGCAGATTGCATACGGAACCACCTCCAAATTATCAGGCTACCAGCCTTTCTCAAATCCTTCGTGCCGACCGTGAAGTTTGGGTCCACATGTCGCAGAATGTGGATGACATCAGGCAACAACCAGACGGCAGCAGGCCATTGGACAGAGCAATTATGGAAGCCCTTAGTGATTACAACGTTGCGTTTCATTTGTTGCCTCTGCCTCTTCCATCTTCGAGTTCATATGCCCCTGTTCGAAATCGAGAAGCATCTCAGTTTGATACAAACTACAAGGGCAAATCAGGCAGTTCAGGGCGCAAGGGAAAAGGCAAGTCCAAGAACCAGCAGGGCTCCAGCGTTGCCCCAAGAGGGATTACAGGTGCAGTCGGCCGAGACTCAAAGGGCCGCGCCATTTGTTTCAACTTCAATTTTTGGGCGAGTGTCCTGACGCCCCTGTAGGAGGCGTTTGCAAAAGAGGTCGCCACGTCTGCTTCAAGGCCACAAGACCCATGCATTTAGTGTGGCGCATGCTAGCGAGATGCCAAAGGATGCTGGCAATACAAACTGACTTGGGGCCCCCTTAGAAGGTTTCACGGAGCAAGATGTAATCATCTTAGAGCTCTTTTCAGGTACAGCAGGCGTGACTGCAGCCTTTAAAAGGTGTGGATTCGAAAACTCCATAGCTGTTGACAAAGTACGGTCACATGGCTCTTTGGCGAGTATCATCCCATTGGATTTGACAAAACCTGAGGATCAGTTGACTGTCATGGAATGGATAAGACATCCTGCAGTGAAAGGAGTTTATTTGGCGCCTCCTTGTGGTACAGCCAGTACAGCCAGGCAGATACACCTGCCCGGAGAAAATGCACCAAAGCCTTTGCGTACGTTGGATGAACCAAACGGTATCTCAACACTCTCTGGCACTGACATGCTACGTGTAAGCGCAGCTAATGTCCTTTATGAATTCACAGCAGAGGTTATGGATCTTTGCACCTTGTTGGGAAAAGCATGTATGGTGGAGAACCCTCGGAACAGTTTGTTTTGGGTGACTACATGGTGGGCCGAATGTGACAGCAATGGGCATCATCACATCTCAGATCATCAAGCTTGCGCATATGGTGCCCAAAGGCCAAAGTGGACGCGGCTTACTGCTAATTTTGAACAAGTCCACACAATTTGCAATACATGTCCTGGAGATCACACCCACCTGCCGTGGGGAGTCATACGAAGTGGCAACAAACGAATTTTTGCAACGTCCCTGGAAGTGCACTACCCGAAACAGCTCTGCGAAGCTATTGCCCATGCTTTTGTTTTGAGATTTGTGGAACAAGGCCTTGTTTTCCAGGGCCACTCCTCTTTGCAACATAGAGCCAAGGCAGCCACCTTGCAGCAAACACCCACGCTTAAGCTGCCACCTTTGTTTCCTGCTCACAAATCCAGGTTTGTGACTTTTTGGAAGTCTCAGCAACTTGTTTGGCCGACTACTGCAGTGCCCCCAGCGGCCAAACAACTTCACGAAGTTCAATTTGGGGAAGAAGTGAGCGTGAAGCAGTGTAACATTGCGGAAGGAGTGAGCAAACGAATTCTTGAAGAATTGCATGTGTGGCATGTTGATTTTTCCTTGGAAAGTTTTCTGACAGTGGACGTTGTTTTTGACAGCATGAGAGTTTTTGGGTTGCAATGGGAACCAACAGAATTTTTGGATCAAGCCTTGAAAATAAAACACCCTGTGGGGTTGCAAGATGCTTTACCGTTGGAATTGGCAAAAGCAGTTGAACGCATGCTGACGTGCAACCCGTTGGAACTGTCAAAGCAAAGGTTGATTTTCTTTAAGAAGTGGAATAGTCGCGCAAAAGAGTTGTGTCAAGCTGAACTGGACATGCGCCGAGACATGGACCCGGCAGTTGAGAAAGCGGTGCGAGGGAAGAAAATCCTACTGTTCAAAGAGATGCTTGAGCATTATGGTTACCCAGATGTTGGAGTAGTTGATGAGTTGCGTATGGGGTCCTCTCTTGTAGGTGAAGTGCCAGCTACCAGCATGTTGCCATTCAAATTCACCCCGGCTGTCACTACACTGGAATCTCTGAAGTTGCAGTCTCAGATGCGCAGACTACAGGTGATGTCCGAGCCTTGCAGTTCAGGTGACAATGAGATTGATGAAGAGGTCTGGAGACAGACTTTAGAGGAATGCGAGCGTGGTTGGCTGAGGGGACCTCTGGAAGACGATGAAGTGCCAAATGATGCCCCTATCTCTCGCAGATTTGGTTTGAGACAGAAACATAAAATTCGTTTAATAGATGATTTTTCGGAGTCGTCGGTGAATCAAGCAGTGACGGTTTCAGAGACTCCGATCCTTCACACCATTGATGTTGCTTGTGCCTTGATTTCAAAGTTTTTCACTGAAGCTGCCCGACTTGGATTTGAGAAGGAACTGGTCGTCAGGACGTTTGATTTGTCCAGTGCATACAGACAAATTGCATTAAACTCAGAAGGACGCAGTGTGGCCTATATTAGGGTTTTTAACCCGATCACTGGACGTTGGGCATTATTTCAGGTGTTGGTTTTGCCTTTCGGAGCGATTCGTAGTGTGCATTCTTTTCTTCGTCTTGCACGTGCAATTTGGTGGCTGGGGACAGTGGGTTGTTCCCTACCTTGGTCCTCCTTCTTCGATGACTATATAGTGTTTTCAACACCGCCTCTTGCCAAGAACGCCGAACTCTCTGTTGCTGCCCTCTTCAATCTCCTTGGGTGGCTTTTTGCGCAAGAGGGTCGTAAGTGCATGCCTTTCAGTGCACAGTGTGAAGCGCTTGGAGTCATTCTGGACCTTTCAGAATCTGTGAGTGGAATTGCAAAAGTTTACAACACAAAATCCAGAATTGAGGAGATCAAAACAGAAATCGAGCGTATTCTGGAAAAGGGTTGGATATCACAGGTTGAAGCGCAAAAATTACGAGGAAGGATGCAGTTTGCTGATGCCCAAGTTTTTGGCCGCACTGGTAAGAGGTGCACTCGAGCGTTGAGGGATTTTGCATCCAGGCGTCGCTCCAAAATCTGCCAAGCTGATGCAACCTTCTTGAAATTGTTTGTGCAATTGCTTGAGTCAGATGAACCTAGGTTGATACTGCAGGAGTCCTTGGAGCACGTTGTCATCATCACAGATGCTTGTTATGAGCGTGAGTCCAGGTCTTTACAATGCGGACTTGGAGCAGTTTTTGTGGATCCGACTAGTGGAAAGAAACAATTTTTCTCTTGTGAGTTGAATGAGATTCAGAGACAATTGCTTGGAGAACTTTCGAAAAAGCAGATCATTTTTGAAGCAGAGACTTTGTGTGCGGTTTTGGCACATTTGATTTGGGTACAAAGCTTGGGCAATAAGAAAGCCTTTCTTTACGTTGACAACGAGGGCACGAAGTTCAGTTTGATTCGTGGTACTTCTGAAAATGATACAGTGAATGTTCTTGCGCAGATTTTTGCCGAGCAAGAGGTCTTAACGAAGACAAGCTGTTGGATTGCGAGAGTGAGCTCGTATAGCAACATTGCAGACGCCCCGTCCAGAGGAGACATCCATCAGTTGAATGCTTTGGGTTTTGAGGATATTTCAACTTTCGCTTCAATTTCTTTGGAGCAAATTCTGGCAGCCATGGTTTACAAAATGGGGAACACGGCTGGCTGCAATTTGAGTCAGTCCCACCGTTAAAACAGTGTGTATCTGCAAGCTGCGAACGTCGTTGAAGGAATAAGCGAAAGTCACGTGTGACACTGTATTATTCCTTCTTGTGATTTGTGCTGAACAAATCAAGTGAGCTTCAA